AGAGGCGTTCTGTTTTCACATATTCAGTGCATAAAGTAACTTACTTACTTTTTAGTGTCAGTTTTAGTATCACTTACTGTACCTGCTTTTGATCTTGAGGCAGTAGTAATCTACTGGACAGAGAGCTGAAATCTGCTCAGTCTCAGGCACCTACTGTACTTTGTGTAGCCAGTCCTAAATCTTATCTTCTGTTCCACAGGTCTGAAACAGAGACATCTGGGCTATGAGGAGGTAAGAGATTTTCAACTTATTCTTTCTGTCAAAGCTTTGAAATACCTGGTTTGACTCCAATGCGGTTTTAGCTCTTGCTGAACCAGCGGGGCCGCCTGAATGAGATGGTAAGACAGTGGTGAGATTGTAGAAGTAGTTATTTTTGAAGAAAAAAAATATTTCTACTATATTAGGAAATTGATTCACTGCTATGGCTTCTCTTTGGGGATTAATTATTTTATTATTTTTTTCTATGGTAGAGTAAGGTAGAAAGGAAGAATCTTCATCCCATGTCAGAACTACCGCATCAAAATACCTCCAGATACAGGAATGACTTCCTATTTTTAGGCACACCTAGAGCTAATCCAGTTTCCTCTTTATTTAAGATGATTGTGTGGGGACAGATGAAAAGAAAAAAGAGATAGAGACAGAACACATGCCGACATTTGGGTTGGAAAAAGTAAAATACTTCCAAAATCCGCTGATTACCACCTGAATTTATTGGGTTGGCATGAAAGACCAAGTAAGCCCACTGTCAGTGAATTTGAAGGAGTACCACAGTGTTTAACATGGAACAGACTGCAATTTATTTTATTTTAATGATATTGAGATTTTTCAGTAATAATATGAGAATATAATAATAATAATGATATTATTAGCAAATGGACACTGCTGTGTTCTTCACATATATTAAAAAAAGTGTCAACGTTAGCATCAGTGCATTTTGTAGCTTCATCAGTGGAAGGCACCTTCAAAGGCCTTGTAATTGCAGTAGGTAGCCACCAGAGGCCACTCACACTAAACTGGTTGTAAATAATTGGACCTGGTTTGTTTAATGGCACTATTCTTCAGGTTAGAGTGGTTGGAATTTTCGCATGGATTAATTGCCTGTGCCTGTGGGCAAACTGGAGAAGCAGAGGTTTCCCCTAAAACAGCAATTGCTCCTGGCAGCATAGTGTTAATGTTTGATAAAATGGACAGAACTGACTGGTTCACAGATCAGTGAAGTAGGGCAGTTGTTATACAGGACTGTCACAATGGATGCCTAAAAACTGGGAATTCTTCTGCCCAAGCCACAGTGATGTTTCAGTGTTCAACTAATTACCAAATGGGTCAGTTGGGCCAAATGGCTACCTCTCATTTGTAACCTTTCTTATGGTTTGTGGCTTTCTTCTATTTGAACACCCCATTTATTATAATGGGTTCATCTTTATGGTATCTATCATTGTGTTTGGGGTGAATGATCCTGTATCACAGAGCCCTCTATCCCTTTATCTTCTGCTCAGCTGCTTCCTTGCTGCACAACACACACACACTGCTAAGCTGAATCAAAATCCTTATTTTAATGTGCAGAGAAGTCTAATAGCAATATAAAAGGAGTTTATCATTGAAAGAACAACATGCATTTTAAAAATATGTAGAAAATATAAAGGTGTATGCATTTAAATATATTTTAAAAATATGTCTGGTTTATTAAAGTTTTCAATATATTTACACTTTATGTAGATTAGCCTTTATATATACTGTATATTGCAGTTTCTTAGACAATACAACACTGTCTGTTGTAGCTCTAGGGTCTTTACATCATGAATATCCTGTTAAAGGCCTGAGATACTACACATTCTTTTTGAAAAGGACATTTCTCTGCTGGTCATTTTCTCTTGGGGGAATGCTGTATGTGTATGTCTTAGACAGTAGCATTGAATAGTGTTTTAGACTCTGTGCTCCAGACTAGATGGTTGTGGGTTAAAATCCGCAGGTGGCTGCTGCTTTAGTATCCTTGAGCAAAGTACTTAATTGACAATTGTCCTGGTAAATGCTCTCCTGCACAGTTGGATCTCCAGATTATTATTGTAACTGAGAATGTGTTTTTAAGTTGACTTCCCTGGTAAACCAAGGCAGTGTTTTAGCCCCATGGACAGATATTATTGTCATTGTGAGGGAACACCACCTTCACATAAAACTCCCATACTAAAGAAAAGCTAACGGAAATGGCCCGGGGATAATGAGTCTTCAGTTATTACTGTGAATGCAACCCAATAAAAGTTGGCTATATGAACATTCATTAAAATGTGGAAAATATCTTGAATTGTACAATCAACGATCACTCTCCTCTTTCAAACAACACAGAACAAAAGTGGGGAGATGTCATTTTGTATAAATGACAAAACAGCTACTTTTTTTTAAATCACATACAAAACCAAAGGAGAAAGTGTTCACTGTGAGCTCAGCGGGAGAGCGCAGAGCAAGGGAACATAATGTAATTAATGTAAGACGTACTGATTTCCTGTCAGTGGAGAAAAATGAAGGTATTGACTCACACTGGCAACATACTGGCATCCCTTTAGTGTTATACAGCACAAAAGGCTGAATATTTGAAACACGTGAACAAAATGAATTATGTTTCCTATTGTAAGAACGACATGAAAAGTAGAACAAGCAGGCAACAGCACCGAAGATACACAGAAAGAAAATGTATTAGAGTGTCTCCTCAATTTTGTGTCAGACATTTGTTCAATAATGCATTCATGTTAAGCTTTTTGTTACTTGTTAAGTTTTAGTGCAACTCCTGAAGAGGCAGATCTCTACAAAAAAAAAACGTCAACAGTTCTCTGATAAATGCTTAAGAGCAAAAACTGGTAATAAAATGCCATGTTCCATTAATGACTTTGAGAAGGCTGTTTCTCAAGCATTAAGAAAATTGAAATGCTCAGCAAAGTCTGCAGAGGAGAAAGAGGCCTAGAAGCATCTAGATGGCAGTGCAAATTGAATTGGTTAATGAGATAGGCTATGGACCGTTAAAAAAATCTGCCGATTCTAAGTGTTTTCTGTGGTCCGCTAGGAACAGTGTGTCCAAACATATTAAAATCTACAACTGAAATTTACAGGAAGGGATGGGGTGCAGAATTTGTGTTGCGTTAAAACATATAAATTCCCCTCAGAGCTTGAAAAACACCCTTAATTTTACATGTGGTTGTAAAACCAGGACAGGAAAAATGTTGGCAGAAACACACTCTCAATTTAAATTCGATTGCACTTTGATCCGTTCTTAGAATATATTTTCCTTCGTCAATTTCCGTTTCGGAAGCTGCATACCTGCAAAGAGGTGTGAAGCATTCTTGTTCTCAAAGCTTCCCCTGAGAAGGTGGCGTTAATATCGAAACATCTAAGGTAACGCTGAAGATGCAAACCATGGATCTGATCGTTGAAAAGGTTTGTTTTCAGGGTCGTGCTTTCTTAAAAACTGGGTGCAAGATGCTGGAGTTTTACTATTCTGAGAATCCTGCCACGCCATATGCTTTTAATCCTCTACTTTTAACTATCAAAAATTCCTAAAATTTTATGTGTCAGCTTTATGCGTCATAAAACTTCAGCAGCAATGTGAAACCAGTTCCTCTGGAGTCCTGTTTGATTGCTGCTTACGTGTGCTGAAAATGTACCTAGAGCTAGTATTTTACAAGTTCTACTTGATTGCAGCTGGTCATGGATATGGTTCACAACGGTCCTTAGACCTTTTCTCTTCTTTATTTTCTGCGCCCATTCTATTCTGTATTTTGCTGTTCTCCAGCTGCATTTTTAGCTTCAATCTGAAAATATTAGCCAGTGGGGGGCAGAAGAGAGGCAGAATTACTTCACCACTGTGCATTTAACGTCTCCGATTTGAACAAGGCCTTCCACAGAAAACAATCTGAGAGTTACACAACAGCTTTTCATCAGGTTTAGCAAACAAAAAGCGAAGTTCACAAAACTCTTTCTGATTTGAGTTTTGGTCCGGATTGAAAACATTTTATTGCATCCCCCAAAAACTGGAAACATGCAGAACATTTTTTAAATTCTTCAGCCAGCGGAAACTCGTGGATGTTATCCTTTTCTCTTTTAAGAAGTAATAGCGAGAATGAAAAAAAAAATGCTGAGACATTTTGGAGATTGCAGAATTAGAGTCACTGACCAGACACGTCCTGTCTGAAGTTAACTCCTTGAAACCCTTTGAATTTGGATGTACTACAGACCAGTGTTTATCCACGAGGCTATTTATGCCTGATTTCCCTCTAAATTGTTGCAGAAATGCTTTCACCCCCCAAAAATTGTTGAGATGAAAGTACCTGTAGCTGGCTTTTCTCCTACAGTCGCAGGATGTCATATTGACACCAGCCCTCCTGTGCTAAAGCAAATTCATTTGTTTACAGTGAATGTGGTGGACTCATAACCACATTATAACCAACTGTGCTGATGCGCAGTACAATATAATATCTTTGGAACTACAGTATATGAATCTATACAGAGTCTTCTTGTGTCTGAACTGGATTTTAGTGTTGGAAAAGCAGCTGGAAAGACATAGATCTGTGCTCTGCAGTACTCTCTCACACATCAGTGGCTGAATGCAATGACAAATAAGAACGAAGAGACCCCCACAGTGTTGGCTCTGGTTTCCAGAGCAGCTGCTCATTTGTGGGGTGGCCCAGTAATTTGTACAATACATAAAAGTTAAGGGAAAAATGGTTTACCGAGACATATTTCACAGGATTTGGTCAGTAACTCCTGTGTGCTTATTTTGGCTTCCATTGGTCTATTGAATGTCCATTTCTTTGCATAAGCAATGTCCTTATTCTCTTTCCACCCTTCAGGTGGAACCACAAGCAGAGTTTAAGACACCCTGCATATGAGACTGAGAACCTGAGGCATCTCTTTACACTAAGTGTTGCGGGAGTCTAGAACAAGCCTTTTCTTGAAGGCCTATTCAGAACAGATCAAATTTGGACACTTCCTGAAAGTTTAGAGTTGGGGGGAGGGAGGGGAAACCAAAGAATTATGGAATTCACTGTCATTGAAAGATTAGGACACAAAATAAAGCAAGGATACAAAACAGAAAGATTTCAAGATCTCGTCCGCTGTGGTCTTCAACAACAGCCTTTCCTTGAATAGACTCACTTGTGTGGCAGAAAGGATTTTTTTTTTCTCCTACAAAAAAATAGCAAAGAAGGATGAGGTCATGGGACCGTAGTTTTAAGTCAGGCTCGTGCAAGTCATATGAGCGCTGGAGCATTTAAAAAAAAAAAAGGAGCCGCAAACAGATGCAAGGCTGCAGGACGGTCAGGCAGGAAAGATGGAGGCTTGGGTTTCGGCAACCGGTGCCTGGAGAGACGCTTGCTGTTGCTGCTTGCCCGCCAAAGCAGAGGAGGACCCTCCAGTAGAACACGAGAGCCCACTGGAACCTCCCGCCATTGAGGTAAGGTAGAGTGCCGTATGGAAAAATCCCCTGCTTGGAAAAACGCAAGCAGGCTGCCGTTGTGTCTGACTTGGCCTAAATTCCATTCAACACTTTGCTCGACAGCGTTGTTAAAGAATCTGACATCACTGCCACATGTCTTTGGCTCAAAGATCTGGGACCTCCCAGGCAACCGTCAGCTGTCGACAGTAAAGTATGATTTCTTGCAGGGATTAACTGGAAACGGCAGTTGACAGCCAAGTATCCAGGTGTGGAGGCAAACAAAGTTATTTTTGGCCTTCTTTGCTGAGCAGTGACCTTTTAAGCATATTCCGTAGCGATGCTCAGTTCAAAACACAGAAACCACTTAGTATGTTGCGCGGAGGTGACTAAGACAGATTGAAAGCAGTAGCTGCAGTATAAGCATCTGCTCCTTTCAGAAAGGTTACATTTATTTAAAAATATATGTCTGCATTTTAAAGTTGACATATTAGTAAATGATTGTGAATTGCCATGTTAAGTCTTAATCACTTCACAACAGTCTCAGAGCCTTTTAAATCACTAAAATTGCTCTTTTTAGTAATTAATTGTTAACACTGTGGCAACTGTTGGCCAGTGTAGTTAACAGATTGTGTATGCTAATCTGCAGTGTTTATGGAACAGCACTGAATTTAAAAATGGATTGTACACTTGGTTTCAGTCATTGTCTTCATGTCAGACATTTTACACAGCGATTAGAAAGAGGAGTCAAAGTATTTTTGAGACATACTGTAGTTAAGGTTTGCTCTTGGTGTTCTTCATTTTAAACAGTTAAATCAATGCATTTCACCAATTTAATTTAGTATACAAATGACGAAACTAGGAGGCCTGTTGGATGTAAAGCAGCTGGAAAGAGTAACTTGTATATAATGGGTGCAATTACCTTTGTAATGCATGAATGTGATTCATACTTTGTCTGTAAGACCATCGCTGCTTAAAAGATTCATTCAAGAAAATCAATTAGATTCATTTAAAATAATGACTTTCTCATACAGTTTAATACAGGTAGTAAACTTGAATTGAAATATCGCAGTAACCCACAAGTACGAGTATAGAAGTATAAATAAAAGTAACCCAAAACATTTTAATATGGGTGAAACGTACAGCCTTTGTTTATCCCCCTGTTATTTCTCTAATTACCTTACAATGTAGACTATTTTTTCACTTTGCTATTACACACATCTTGGGTTTCATGTATGTCGCAGGGCAGAATGCACTTCTAAGAAAGAGTAGATTTATGAGAAAGCTGTAGTTCGAACCAGCGGTTTTTTTCCATGTGCATCCTGGGAAATCTGTAACAACAACATGGCTGAGCTGTTTGCTGCACATAACCAAAGCCATTTGCATAAAAACAAGCCTCCAGCTTTCATTCTAAATGCACACCTTCTTAGTTTCCTCAGACCTTTGTCTTGCTGCAAGTTACCGGCAGCAATTAGCGCTGATGATTAAGTTCTGGTTGGAACAAAACCTAGCAAACACAGAGCTACCCTGGGACCAGAACTGAGAACTATTGTTCTTAAAGAGGTTTTACGAATGCATCACATATGTCATAATTTAAAAAAGAGATTTAAAAAATGTATGAGAGGTCAATAAGTTTGAGGTGAGCTGTTAGTTGGCTCAGCTCACAATTATATTGGAACATCAGTTGGGATGGTTATTCCCTTTCATCTTTAGTACCACATTCTTGGAAAGCAAGACGTTTTAATATGTGTATCCTCTAAAAAATCCACTAAGAAATAAACAGGTAATAACCAGACAAAGATGTATATACTGTACAGAAACTCACACTGGGTTCTCTTGAACACCTGACATCAGCCATATACACAATTACGTGATACATTAACTTCTCTCACATACAAAGCTGTTCATTGAAATGACTACTGCCATTATACAGTTTTCTACCATCAATGGAGGCTTTTAAAAGTAATTGAAATTGATTATATGTAATCAACAGCAATTTGAACTGAAATTAATACGCAATTCACCATCACGTATTACATGTGTGTTATGTTTGATGTATGTGGTTCCTCACGGCTTAGAGTTAGTTGTTCAAGCAATTGCCTTGTCACATCATGTTTGACTTAAATGGGCTTTATGATATTACACCTGACACATGCCTGTAGATTGCATAAAGCTTTTTGTGAGTGGTAATGACCCCAAGGTAAAACGATCTTCTAATCTCTGTCTGTTTTCCATGTGTGGTGCAAAGATATTATGACAATTATACCACATCAGTTCTAGCAGACTTTTTTAACAAAAAGGCTTTGCCAAACTTCACCTGCAAGTGTCAAATATGTACTTTAATTTACAGAATGTTTACGAAACAGTGGTTGGTATTACATCTTAAACGTCTTATCAGTAAACAACTAACGTTTCTTTGATCAACCTCTGCACATTTCAATGCTACGTTCTACAGAAAGCATGCAAATTTGGCTAGTTTTGGCTGTTTTAATTAATTTGGAAACCCTCATCAATACATTGGAAAAGGCTATGCAATTAAGATATACTGTAAGAAATATATGAAACAATCCCAATATGTTTGTGTTTTAAGTAATAATGTAAACTGTTTAAATTATTAAGGGGTAGTAAAAATATATTTTTTTAAATTATAAGAATATTGTGTCATAAAAAATTGATTTCCATCGATTTGATTATTAAAAGATTCTATAGAACAGATGACAGTCCTCGTTCTGGACAGAACAAATCTCGTAGGTTTTCTAGATTTTTACCCTTAAATCATCTAAATAAAAATCTGAAATAGTGTTAGAGTGATGAGTTATGTATCTTATGTGAAAATAAGTACTTTAGTGATCATTGGGAAGAATGGTCTGAATATCTCTCATACTGTACATCAGGGACCTGATCTACATAAATAAACCAAATTACTTGCTTAATTGATTAATAACTAAGTGCACCCCATCTTTAAAAAGAGGATCATAAACACACTAAGGAAACCCACACAGAAAAAAAATGTTACAGTGTTTGTAAAAGCCCAACAATAATCTGCTGAAAAGGGTATAAATGTCTGTCTAAAAGTGCTTAACAACATTATCAGCGTTCTCTTGTGGAAAGACTCTAGACCTTGCTTGTCAGACTTAAATGTCTGATGAAATGGAAGTGTAGACATACTGTATAGCTTAGTTTATGCTATCCAGCTGAAAAACATGGATATTTTGGGCCAAGGAACATGAAATATGGGACCACTGAGATCTGGGCAAAACTACTTTGGCCAGAAAGAACTGTTATGAAGTGAGTAAATAGTCTGCAGATGAGTAATAAAAATATTGGCCTATTTCCCCCACAGATTCATGTAAAAGGCTCTTACAACAATTATATCACAAAGGTATGAAGATTAATTATAGGCAATTTAAAATACAAGGCTTTGTACCCTGTTTTTTTCTAATCTTTGGTTGTTCTAAAACCAGTTATTTCATAGAAACCTGCTGTTATTTCACTTTTATGCCAACATACCTTCTCCTATGTGAGTCTTGAGATTTAAGTTTGAGTTTTTTGTCCATTGTTCTCTGCTGGCATTCCAGTCTGTGTCACTCCTTGAAGTGTGTCACTTTTTAAGAACTTAACAACAGTTACAAGTGAGAGGAAGTCATTTATTTGAACAAAATAGTCTGTATGGTAGTTAGTAGCTAATTGATAAAAAGATTTCAAACAGGCATTTCTTGAAAGAAGCCAGGGTACTGATTTCAACAACATGATTGGGTTGATTGTGCTTTGGGTAAATAAGTGTTTCCTGTTCTCAGGTTTATTTGCACTTCATATACAGTATTTTACACTTTTGTCTTATGGTTCAACCCAGTCCACTGGGTTGAGGATTTTGCATACTTGAGTCATTTTCCTTTGTAATCTTCTCTGTTCAAGACTAAAATTCACTGCACTCCTTTAATGCTTATTTTCAGTGTTTTCTTTGCAGAGTCTGGATAAAATATTTCCTGTGAGCTTTTAGCTTAAATGATTTTTTTTGCCTAATGCTATAATGTTTTATCTCCCTCTCCCCTGCTTCTAAAGAGCTGTCTGCTCTGACACTGTTAAGACAAGAGACCATAAAATATAAAATTCTGGCATGCAGTGTTGGGCCTGTTTAAACATTGCCCTAAGACATGCAACCGGTCATTGTGATAATCTCCTCCCACACAAGATTACACAGCGGCACTAACTGTACTGTTGACCATAGCAGTCAGAAAAACATTTTTTTTTTCCTTGAGAGCAAAAAACTTCAATCTTCAGTCAAGGAAATGATCTTCAGCACTGTTATTGTGGTGCCCTGACATAGAGGTTAGCACTGACTCCAAACGACTGATTTGTACTGTAGATCCCTTGCCTCTGAAACACAACGAAGTCACAAAGCTACCAGCTCTTTTGTATTGTATGAGCCTGGTTTTTGAGCTACTCTCCAGCTTTCCCTAGGCTTGTCACCATTTCTGCTGTTTGAATCCTTTTTGCATCTTAAAGGCACACAAACTGCCATTATGTCTAACAATCTTGAATCCTTGTTTTTTTTTAACTAACTAATCTATAAGCCTACCCCAAGAGCCTCTCCATGTTTTTGTATTAAGGAAACCAAATTTAACCAAGGATATAAGACTGAAGGTGGTATGGTAACCCACTGAACACTGATAGCCATTTACACGGCTCAGCTGCACTGTAAATGGAGCAAGGAGGGTAAATACCCACCAGGTATGAGAAAACTAACCAATATTCCCCACAGTCCCTTATGCATGGTTTATTGGCTGCACTAAATAAAAATAAATGACATGGTTCTTGCCATTTTGCTCTGCAGCTGTATTTTGCTATTGCCGAATTAATCGTATGTGACTCTTGCGAACAATGCGCTTTAAATTCTGACTCTTTGGTAAACCTTTTCTTTGCCCTGTTTTGCAGCTCGATGATGTGGGAGACTCTGCCTTTCCCTCCGGTCCCATCCAGCCCCAGTGGTTCCACACACTGCAGGTGAGGAGGCTGCGGGTCCAAAGGACAAGAAGCAACAGTGACCCGCTGGGAGGGAAGAGCTTTGAACAAGAGTTCCAATGGGTGAGGAATTTCTTTCACTGTCACTCTCTGCTGCAGACCCATGCTTTAAACTTACAGTATAACATACTGTAAGATACTATAACATAACATATAACATAACACAAAACATAATAATATACAACATACAATATATAACATATGACATACCGTATAACATATAACAGGCAGTGACATCAGCACATTCCATGTCGTATTTTACTTGAATGCCAAATGGGGAATATCTTATAAACTTCTTCTGGGTTCAGATATTTATTAGTGATATAAAGGGTAGGGTTAGAGTGTTATCACAGGACATAGGATTTAAGGTTGTTGTTTGTTTTAAAAGTAATTCAGCATTTAGATACTGTTTTGTTAAACATTTAGCCTGTTAAGTCAAATTGTATAGTGAATTTGCAGCCATTATTTTAAATGTCCACCTATTATACAGTATTAATAGATAATTAATAGATTGTTAAGATTCTCCCTATTACTGTACATTACTAAAGATACACACCTATTTATGACCTATATGCTCCTGTCTATTACACCTATTTGTTACTAAAGGTTTGCAGAAAAACAGAATGTAACTATTTTAGCACGAAATAGGTAACATAAATATAACTTGTTCAGTTCTTGAGAGTGCTTGTTAGACGTTTTGAAAAGCTTCATAATAAATCTGAAATATAGTATGTAGTATATAGTACTTAGAAGGCATTAGTGGCTCATGCTGAAATTCTTAATATCACTCCAAAAATTCCAGTCCAGATGTTTGGAATTTACTGTACCCATATGGTTATGGTATAAAAGAGCAATTGTGTGAGAATAAATAAAAATAATTGTTTCATTTAGCCATATGAGTAGACGCTGAGCTGATAAAAATGCCATGTCACAGGAATGTCAGGATTAAAAGAAAAGTGTAATTACATGACTGTGCTTGTACCTAAGGCTTTGTCAAATTCACAGGGGTTCCGGATCTGACTGACCCCATTTCCCTCTGATCCCTGAGGGTGTCAATCAAGTCATTCTCTCAGACTGATCTGAAGACCGTAAAATAGCCAACTACTTGCTGACTAGTAAATTTTTCGCTAATAAAGAGCGATGGAGTATGACAAAAAAAGAAGAGACAGATTCAGTTTATTGCAGTTCATCTGCCTTTCAACATATCAGATTTAAAAGGTCACAATTATTACCTGCTGTATGACGGCATTTTATCCTAAACCAGTATTTAACATGCTGATCGCTTCATTAGTCTTTACACTGGTTTCACTGTAGTGGTTTGATCAACAACTTGAGTTTTGGGCTAAAATGAAATGAGAGTAAACAAATCTAGTTCACTAGAGAAATCTTGTGAGAATGGATCATATCAAAATAGTTCTGAATGGGTTTAAAGAGACAAGAGGGTGTGTTGAAATCTGATGTAGTAATAGCATAGGCTGGTGGGTTATTATAAGATGACAAGATAAACTTCTTAATCTTGTAACAAACGCTTATTTCAAAGTTTTTGTAGACACCCTTGGGGCAGAATAGAAGCATTTAAAAATGATTTAAATGGTATTATGAAACAGGGAAAGGAATCAATAGGAGAGCACATAATGTACATTTTTTGTCAATGAAGCTTATGTGAGCATACTGTAAGTATACAGAATTATATGTATATCGTTTGTTCATGTATTACTTTTGAAAAGTATAACTCCAAAGATAGTTCAACATCCATATTAACAAGGGAGACATTTTACATTTAAGTCAAAATACAACAAACTGGAAGTCTTATGTAAACTGTGCCTGCCAGCCTTCAAAACACAGCTGCAGTTTTAATAAGAGGATTTATAAAATTACCAATGAGAGAAAGGCTCGTGTTCCAACTTTCAGTACTCCCTGGGTTTCATTGTTGCCTGAGGGCTCAGTAGTCAAGTATTAATATGAATAAAGTACATGCTTTATTTTGTTTTCATTTCAGCAACTGATTGAGTGTTTGATGATGTTAAGGTGTGAATAATGTAAAATAGAAGTAATTGCATAAATCAATATATCAAAAGTAGCTTACTCCATGTTCAGATGGTATACTTCCAGTGCAAAGCTTCTTTAATCCAAAACCAGATGCTATTTTACTGCTATCACAAACTTCAGCATACTTTCTGAAGAGGAAGTATTATATATTATATAATATATATTATTAAATATGCTGTACATACTGTATTCAGCAGTAGACTAATATATCGTATGCATCTTTTAGCAACCAACATAACAAATGTATCAATCCTGCTGTGTTTTGAATGGCAGGATTGTCAATGGTGGGAGTTGGGGGGAGAGGTGATTGTTGTGGGTGTGTTACTGTCAGCTGCTTTTGTGAAAAATGACATTCCAGCCTCCTCTGGGAGACCATGAACATCACTGTAGGCAATTCAGCTTCACTATAGGCAACTCACTTCAGGCGATCTGACAACCGAGTGAAAATTAGTCATGAGGATTTTCTGATTTTCTCTTAGATTTCTGTCTAAGATAATGAACTTGACGGCCTCTGTGAGTGATTTCTGTGAAAAGGGCTCACGTAACTCAGTTTCTACAGAATGGGGGCTGCAATACCCAGGGAACAATAAGCTTAAGCAACAGAAAAATACAATGAATTTAAATTAATAAGTGAATATTATTATTTCTGTATCTTCTTCCTCTTTTGCTTTCAAACTCCTTGATATTTTGTCCTTAATGGTGGTTCTCATTGATTTATATATACACAATTGGGTCAGTTCCTGCAACTGCATTTTGAGTATTGTTGCTGCTGAGAGACACCACTAGTGCTATTAATGACAATTTTACTGTAGCTTGTTGTTAATGTTCAAGTATTAATGAGGAGTGATGCTAAGAGCACTGTTGATGTTTTTCATTCACAATGCTAATTTGTTCTCTACATGGATATATTTTCATATTTATCAAAAAGGGCTCTGGAACACTGTTTTCCGAAATAATGCAATGTCATGTAGCAGTGTAGTTCTCTAGAAACCAGGGAATGAGTACTGTCTTGTTGTAAAGGACACAGGGATTTTGTCACGGGCCTCAGCCTTCCACACAGAGCTGCTGATTAAACCATGTACGGTGTGGTGTAACCCGAGCCAATGAGGAAACGGACATCAGGGAAAACACACAAGGGCTTATTCTCGAAGGTAATGCTCAGCAACAACAGGTGCTCCGGTGAACTGGGGAAAACAAGGCGTCCAGGTACAAGCGAATCCATGGGGGTAAGTCAGGGCGCAGTCCAATAATCCTAAACCAGGAGATCCATCCAGCCACACAAACACAGGGAAATCAGGAACAGTCCAAGAACATACAGAACCCTGAGCTCAGATGCCTCGGGCAAGGCCTGTGCCCTCAGACGACTCCATGGTCTGGGTGTAGGCCTCTGGACACCCGTGTCCTAACACTGAGCCCTGAGCATCGGAAGCTCTAGGTTTTATAGATCAACACTGATTCTTAACACCTGGGAATAATACAGCAAGCAAACTAGGACTCAAAAATTTGGAGCGCCCCCTAAGGGAAAGGATGCTAAGCGCTAACAGACTTAGTCTGAAGGAAGTGATAATAACTGTGACTTAGAAACCGTTGTAAATATCTGAATGACGTGTGCATTCTTTTCCCTGTTTCATAAGGATGCCACGTTGTTACCGTTTTGTAAGTCCACGCTCCTGTGGTTCCTGTGTGTGTCATAGCCTCTGCTGGAAACAGTGACAGAGAACCCTGTTCACTAAAGAACACAAGTCCCTTCCTTGGAGTCTTGTTCTTGTACCAGAATACTGCTGGTTCTCATTAGCATAATCAAGAATAGAGGAGAAATTAGAACAGAGGAGGAAATGATTTATTTTCTGGAGAGGGTGATAAAAGCCAAGGGAATATTTAAATTCTAAAAAAAAGCACTGCTTGGTTTCTTAAATAGGGTACTGAGAAATAACAGAAACACTGAGCAAAAGCTAAGTTGAGAAGTTTGGATCACTTCCAGTGTTACAGATGAGAAGAACCCATGAGGTTTCAGCACGGTAGTTAGTAGTTAAGTGATCTTACTTATATATATATTATAAGACTCCAGGGAATCAGCTTCACGACATGCACAGATAGCTTATTCCATGCTTCTATATTTCTTTGCATGATGAAGTTTCTCCTGTTCTCAGTTTTGAAGTTTCCTGGGTGGTTTTTGTCAATGCTATTGATGACTTTGAATACTTGAGTCATTTCCCCTCATCGTTTTCTTAGTTTAAGTTTGTTTAGCTTGTCATTATAGGACATTCCTCTTGTCTGGATTGTACTTTTATTAATTGATTCCAAAAGAGTAGTATTTTTTAGCAAATGTGATCTCAATGAGCTCTTACTAGTTCACTATTTAACATATCTTTTGATTTACCCTTTTTACCATATATCCTCGCATTCTGTTTGTGTTTTGAATTGCTTCTCCACACTGTATAGAAGATGTATATATGTCCTATGACTTTTTCATAGGTAGCTTATTCTAGCTCAGGGTGTCCCATTTTGTATTTAGGGTTTATTTTTACTACTTACAGTACACGCAAAAAGTCCTGCACTTGTCTTCTTATCTTATAACCCTCACTGCTCCTTTTAGATTATTGGAGAGTCACTGCATGTGTGCTTTTGTGCCATTTTCAGAGAACTGGCCTTAAGTTTGGCACAGCCACATCCTACTTGAACCTGGAGAAGCTTGGAGAAGGATCCTATGCCACTGTGTACAAAGGGATCAGCCGGTGAGTTGGGAACGGGCTTGATCATGACTTTACATCTGAGTTAGTAGGTTAACCTCCTATTGAGCTTGCATGGTGTGCAAACAGAGCCCAATCATTCCATAGATCCCTCCATCCATACTAGATATTTTCCAATGGGGAAGCCAGAGCCTGTCCCTACGAGCAACAGGCACAAGACAGGGTACACGCTGGACAGGATGCCAGTCCATCACAGGGCAGACATAGACACAAACACAGACACACAGACACTCACACCGGGGCTAGTTTGCCCAGTAGCCACATAACCTACCAGTATGTCTTTGGATTGTGGGAGGAAACACAGAGCACCTGGAATAAATCCATGCAAACAGAGAGAAAACATACAAACTCCATGCAGATAGCACAACAGGTCTGAAATGCAACCCAGGGCCCCAGTGCTATGAGGCAGCAAAGCTTATCACTGTCCCACCTTTCTTTCCTTGTGTTTAGTTTGCAAAGGAACAAATTGCAATACAGTATATGACTACGAGAATAAAGAGACACCGAAACCCACAGCCAGCAACACATCTTCATGCACATGTACATGACATCCTTGTTGCAAAAGCTGACAATGTGCAGTGCATTCTCTGACACGAAAAGGATAGCACTCACACTAATAATCTGGCCATCTAAATGCATTTGGTCATTCCCTGTGTGAAGTAAACAGCTCCTACTGAATCGTTGCCTCACATGCTGCTGTTGTTTATCAACAGACTGCGTAAATAATATGCTGGGGTAGCCCCACATTAGAGTTCACACTCTTCATCACATCGTACCAAGGCTTTCCAATTTCTAAAACCTGGAACCACATAACTATGATCAATTAAACAGGTGTTGTTGAACAGGTTCGATTAAATAATTTAGAGATCATTTGGAACAAAAATCAGAGTGCCACGTAGGTGTTAAGGACTAGCTTTTCCTTCTTTGACACTTTACTTGCTTAGTGGCTTAAGCAAATGACAGATGATTAAGGTGACCTATAGTATTAGACTCATTAGAGTGGAGCTCTCCAGGACTGAACACTCCTAACTTACTGTGTGAGTCTTCACATCAGTGTGACTGCTTGAGTGTGAAAATTACCTGTATTTAGATGGACAGATGTAACAATGGAGGACACTTACATGGCTTACTGCACATTTAAAGCCCATTTGTAATCTCACGATCCGTATTAACTAGAATTCATCTTGTAGAATAAACGGCCACCTGGTTGCACTGAAGGTAATCCGAATGAAGACAGAAGAAGGGGTACCCTTCACAGCCATTCGAGAAGGTAAGCGCTTTCAAGTGATTCGATTATTGCATAGTGGATTACAAAAAACTATTTTTTCTGTAAACTGAGCTTCACACAAACTCCCTGCCTAGTTCTGTTTTTATAGGGTGTGACTTCAGGCATACACATACACCCTATACTTTCTCTTTAATGAGAACAAAGAGCACCAAAAATATAAATACAACAAGATCCATAGAATAAACATGGTCCTACCACTACCTGGGGCCTTTGAGTGGACAATGACTTCTGTCCACTCACCCTTTTTCTTACTGCTTCTTCCAGTTGTTGGTTCAGGGGAGCAACAGGTTCAAGGCAGGGGACAGACTGGATGAGATGCCTGTCCATCACAGAGCAGACACTCAGACCAGGGACAATTTTCCCTGCAACCGATTAATTTACCAGTGCGTCTTGGGGCTGTGGGAGGAAACCAGGGCACGCAGAGGAAACCCACCTGAACACAAGAAGAATAGACAAACTCCACACAGTTGTCACCGCAGGGCACACACGGCTGCAAGGCAGCAATGCTGGCCGCTGTACTACAGTGTTGCACAAGAAACGACTCATGCTCCTGGATTAAACTGAATGAAAGGAACTACTGTATGAATGCAATAATAGCATCTCTGATTCTTCCACTTTATATTGCCTTAATACAAATGCTTCATTTGTATAATGGTGTTCCTGCCTGTTTTACACGCCAGTGTTTTATATTCGTGTCTTTGAATACTGTGTACAACTTCAGATGCTGTAAAAAAGATTCTGGTACTCTGATATCATTTCTGAGAAGAGCATTCCAGGGCTTAAAGAGCAGATCTGAAACTGAAACGACAACAAGAGGAACCAGACACAAGCATTCAAACCCTAAAAAGGCTCTGACAATCTGAATTAACACAAACCAGAAGTCACCAGCAGAAACTGCTTGGAAGTGCAACTAATTCTGTGAACAGGAGACTGTTCTTTACATGAAGGCTCATGGGAGTATGAAATGAGCTATTGTGGCACTGTGGCTAAGGATCTGAGCCTGTGGCTGGAAGGTTACTGGTTCAAATCCTGCAGCCGGCAGAGGAATCCTACTCCGTTGGGCCCCTGAGCAAGGCCCTTTACCCCAACTGCTCCAGGGGCGCTGTACAATGGCTGACCCTCTGCTCTGACCCCAAGCTTCTCTCCCTGTCTGTGTGTCTCATGGAGAGCAAGCTGGGGTCTGCAAAAAGATGAATTCCTAATGCAAGAAATTGTGTATGGCTAATAAAGTGATCTTATTTTTCTGAAGCTGAAAGTTAGGTTTCTTTCAGGAAACGACAGGGTGAGATGCTGGGATCAGATAGTCACTAAATACCCAATGGGCAAGATGGGCCTTACCTTTCAGTTTCTTATGTCCTTAAATGGGTTGAGGGAGGTGTATGATGATATATTCATGAAGTCAGCCAGTTCTGTCAGTGACACACTTGCTGCTTTTACATTTCAGCGTCCCTGCTAAAGGGCCTAAAACACTCCAACATTGTTCTCCTCCATGACATCATCCACACACGGGAGTCCCTCACTTTTGTCTTCGAGTATGTGGTAAGTGCTTTTGTGTCAGCAATTGCTTGGCTCACTCTTACTTCTTTTGGACCAGGCTTTTAAAGTAACAGAAATACAGCTTTTTTAAAACAAAAAAGATCTTTTTTTTTATCGGTCAGAAAGATTTTAGCTAGACCATGATTGCAGTTCGTTAGGTAAATATTGCATTAAAATAAAGCCAGCAAATTATTAATTGTTTCAATATAACAAATGATTTACTGTATGTGACTGACATATTTCTAGTTAGCACTGTGGAAAATGTAAGCACTGTAAGCTTCATTGCATTACATAATCATGGCTAATTCAAGTAAGTAATGTACTAAAATGCTGTAATTATGAACTAAAGATATGACTTGATATTCCTCTTATGTGCTTTTGCTTCTAGTATACAACTGTTAATTAAGTCTATTGTATGGCCCTTATTATATTATCCATTAATAAAATAGCGACACTTGGTCCATTTCCAGGAATCTTTTACATCTTTTCACACAGATTCTAATAATGATAATAATATTAAAAATGTACAAAGGATAGTACTATGTTTGGCTCAATTTAAAGTGAGCTTTAATCTGATATATAGTTGATCCTAACTTTAGATTCTGGATGCCATTTTTATTGTACGACAATGGATATAATGTGATCATATTTCATGTATTACAAACATGCCAATCATCAGTGTTATTGTATCTGCTGTTTTTTTTTGTGGTGAAACAAGAGATCAATTTCAATTCTGAGGATAGAACTATTACTATTACACTGTAAGAGAACAGATTTCTACCCCAAATACTTTTGCTTAACTCAATTTCGGCATGTAATGTAAAATTATTGAACTATGCCATTTTAGACATCAGGTCCCAGACACCTCTAACTATTTGTGTGAAGATGTATCAGTTCAAGAAAACGGAATACTAAATAATTTGCAATGGGTTTTTATTTAAAAGTATATTCCGTTCATCTAGAACAACCTTACCTTTCAATTAAAAACTGATATATTGAACTCATCTTCTATTAATTCAATATTTAACAAAACTTTTAATCAGTCAATATGGTGCCTTTATCATATTAGTTTTTTTACAGTATAGGAAATGCCAGAGAAAATGTTAAGATAACTTGGAAAATATACCTTTCCAACATTTCTTTTCTGTCCAGAAAAACAGCCATGCCATTAAAAATTGCCTATGTTTTGAGGGAATCCTAACGCTAACCCTAGCTCAGGATTTGGGAGGTTAGGGTTAGAGATCAGTTTTCCTTCAAGGAATCAATGCCACCTTCTACCCATTTCCATGGAAAATATACTTCAACAAATGAAGCTAACAGTCAGAACTGACATAGCAACCTTCCCAAACCCAAGAGAATACATCAACAACGCTCAAATTCTGTTTTAAGTCAAGTATTCTGAGAGTGGAAATCTCATATTAAATAGGGTTGTCAATGAGGAGTGTTTTGGGCCAAACTAGGGCAAGAGTGAGGAATACCCAATAAATTCTAAGCTTATATGGTAGTAAGCCTCTGGATTAAACACCAAATGCAGGAGTATGAGAGCTTTATTGACTTTCTATCAGACGTTTGCTATAGGAGCAGTATAGAGTAAATTCCCTGTTAGACAACTGCTGTGTATATAGCCATACATAGAGTGATGGAAAAAAAATGTGTAGATTTCTTGGAAATTCTATCATTTCTACATATTGTTTCTGACCTGAAATACAGCCATGCCATTAGAAATTATCTATGATTTACGGAATCCTAACCCTAACCCTAGCTAAGGACCTTGGAGGTTAGGGTTAGGGATCAGTTTTCCTTCAAGGAATCAATGCCACCTTCGACTCATTTCCGCGGAAAATATACTTCTGCAAATGAAGCTAACAGTCAGAACTGACATAGCAACCTTCCCAAACCCAAGAGAA